TCTCCCCACCATCCAGAATGTAAGCTCTCTCTTACTGACTTACTGCGTCTCTCATCAAGTCCAAATTCAGGGGGCAGACAGTCTGATTGACATGGCCAATGGCCTTCCTGTCCCTTGAATGAACACCTGCAGGCCAGACTACTTCTTGGACTACTAACTGGTCTAGATGGGGAACATCTAGAACATACCATATCCTGAGAAGAGGGTATGATCAGTTAGAAGGGAATATCCAACATCATTCTCACCTTGGCCATGCAAAATCAGCAGTATTATCCCTAAATTACAGATGAGAAAATAGTCTAAGAAATGATAATAAAGTGGTAATAAAGCTACCCTAGCTGTCCTGCTAACCTACTGGGGTTCTGGGGATGTTTGTTATGTAGTAAAAGCTAACTAGTACAGGATTCAATCCCAGGTCTCTTTGGTTTTTATGCCTTTCCATGTTGTCCCACTGAACTTACAGCCCAGATTCCCTTTGCATTTATATACCCCAAACAATCCTGGCAGGGAGTGGGGAAGGTAGGAAAGGGGCCTGTTGCAAACAGCTTATTTACAGTTGAGGAGACTAAATTTGGGAAAGGTGCAGGGAGTTGTCCAGACTAACAAGGCTTCATAGAAACTCAGTTCCCTTGGTTTCTAGCTCTGGGCTCTTTCCACGGAGTCTTTGATGGAGGCCATCATCTACTTACCATGTGGTAGACACGGTGCCACATGATTCACGAGCCATAGCCCGTGGAGCTGCATTGCAGGGAGAACCAGAGGACACTCTGAACCAGACATTCAGCTGAACTTTCCTTTTCTTTGCAGTTTTCTCTGATCCCTAGTTGCTCTTCCCTAATCCAACATCTGATCAAGGTGGAGGCAGTGGACCTCTGGTCCAGGTGCCACAGAAGTTGGAACCTGCTCTTTGCGAACAGTAAGAATTATTGTTGCTGTGAAAAGGTAGCAGGGCAGCAAGATAAAGAGCACAGACTGAGCTGTGTGTAACCATGCCTGTAATCCCAGTTACCCAGGAGGTCGAAGCAGGAGGGTGGCAAGTTTGAGGCCAGCCTCTGTAACTTAACAAAACCCTGTCTCAAAATAAAGGGCTGGGGATGTAGCTCAGTGGTAAAATGGCCCTGGGTTTAACCCCAGCCAAAAATAAAGAGAGAATGAAAGAATACACACAGAAGCCTGGTCCTACCATTTGACTTAGGTGCGTCCATAGTGAGTCACCTCCCATATCACCTCTTTGTTTCCTCCTCCTAAGAGAGCCATCATGTTATGACCCAAGGCTTCAAACAGGATGTCTCCCTAGCACCTTACATTCTTGCCCTGGCTCAGTTTACTAATCTTTCAGGACTTTGTTGAAATGCTACTTTCTCAGAGATGTTTCCCCCTGAGGCCAAGTTATTTTCCTGTCCAAATTCTTTTCTATAGCATCCTTCGCAGCATTCACTAAAATTCTTATGCACACAATTCATTGATTTCTTGCTGATTGTGTATATTCTCTACTAGACCATGAAGTTCTCCACAGGGAGGGACTGTTTCTGTTGCCATCACTGAGCCCAGCACCAGGGCCAGCTTCAAAGTAAACACTCAGTAACTATTTGCAGGACCCGGTGAATGATGAGTGAACCAACTTGCTTCCTCATGTTCCCTTCTCGAGAACTCCCTCCACACCTCCCCTCCGCTTGCCTCTCAGGAGTGTTATAAGCTGGTGATTGTAAGGTGGCCACTGGTGAGTGTGGGTTGATGACCTCAGCCCTCCCCTTTCCCTCTGCCCACTCAGTTCCTGCCCCATTGACCTCCTTGCTCTTCCATGAATCTACCAATCTCATTCTTGCCTCAGAGTTTTGCACTTGAGTTCTTTGTATCTGGAATGTTCTCCCCAGATGTCCTATGGCTCCACCCTTCACTTCAATCGGGTCTCTACGTAAGACCTTTTCAGAGAGCTCTTGCCATTTCTAAAGGAATCCCTCTCCCTCCGTCCTCCCTTCTCCTCCACCTCCCTGCCCACAGCTTGCTTCCTTGTACTGTTCATTACAAGATGGAAAATGTTACGTTGTTTATTGAGCATTTCCTCCTGAGGCCAGAGTTTTTCTCTTTATTCCGGTTATTCATTTATATTCACACCACCTGGATCAGCTCCTGGCACATAGTAAAAATGCTCAATGAATATTTATCAAATGACTGACGGAATGAATAAGTGATTATGAAAAATGAAGGTGAAGAAAACAATTTGTCTTCATAAAACTAAGCTCTGAGTCCTTCAAGGTCAGAGTAAAGAATAATTTCTAGGTAGGGACAGTGAATTTAGCACATGATGGGGTCAGAAATCAAGCTAAGGAAACTTGAAGGGTGAGGCCACTATTCAGACTTTGCCCCTCTCCTTCCTCTTCAGAGGGCCTCAGCCCAGGGTAGCCTACCCACGCATGGTTTGGAGAGCTTCTTAAGAGCAGCAATACCAGCGACTCAGAGATCCAGCCTCCTACTCCCATGTCTGGCATCATCCACCTCCAGGGAGTGATAATTAAGCCTGGAACACAAAACACCCATCTCTTGACCTGCTCCGGGTGTAAAGGAAAGAACAGGAGGTTGGAGTGGAAAGCCAGTACTCCAGGTGTTCCTTAATTCCTTTTCTTTTTTTTTTTTTTTCTTTTTTGCTTGTTTGTTTTGCAGGGCTGGGGAGCAAACTGAGGGCCTTGTACCTATTAGGCTAGTGCTCTTCCCAGCCTTGGCCCTGGTGTTTCTTAATTTGAATGATTCCTGCTGACAAGATCCACCACACCCCAGTTGGGTATGGCTTGTGAGTCACTTCCTCTTCTGAGCCTCAGTTACCTTATCTGTAAAATGAGAAAAATGTTTATGCCTACGTACCTGGGGCTGTGGGAACAAGATGAGGTCATGCAAGTGAAAGCTGTGTGTAAACTGCAACGTTTGGTGCACTTCACCAGAAAGAGGGAGAGCGTGGAGTCAGACGGGCCTTGGTTGGCAGCGTGGCCCTGGGTAAACAATGCCTCTTCTCTGAGCACCAGAGGGTGTCTCTTCTGTGAAGGGCAACTATTAATAGTATCTACAACTCCCAGGCTTATTTTGGAAATTAAATAAGGATTAAATGAGATAACATAAGTGTCTACAATAAGTGCTCAGCACAGGTTACTACTCAAACACACACACACTCTCACAGTCCTTAAAACAGACTGAATAACAAACTGTTCTCAGTCTGGAGAAGAAAACAGGCAGCCAATGAGCTCTTTCTCTAGTTTCCATTCTAAGAAAGGAACTCACTGGCCGGCATCCAGATGGTCACTGATGTGGAGGACTGCAGCCAAAGGCCAGCCTTCCACAGGGAGTTTCCAAAAAGTGTGAGTGCAGAGTTGTATAACCTGCCCCTGAGACGTGTCTCTGCTTAAGTATTTTCAAAAAATATCCCTGAAAGGAGACCTGTGAGGGGACCGTAGCGCCTAAGGGCAGAGAAAGGGAGGGAGGAAGGGAGCTGGTGAATCTTGGGAGGGGAGCAGTGGGATTGGGTAGAAAGAGATCACCTTTATTGAGCTCCTACTATGTGCCAGGCTTAGGCTCAGTCTGTCTGATACCCAGTAAGATCCTTGCCATATATCTGAGAGCTTAGGTATTTCCACTCCCACATTCTTGGGGAAGAAATACTAACAATATTACTAATGTTTATGTAGTACCAACTGCTTGTCAGGAAGTGGACTAAGCACATATTTGATCTTCAGGGCAGCCCTTGAGGGTGCTATTTTGATCCCTACTTTATAGAAGAGAAAACTGTCTGAGACTGACAAGGTGAAATGACTTCCCTAAGGTCACCCAGCAGGAAGTAATAGAGCCAGAATTTGAATTTAAGCTGGGATCCAAAGCCTGTGGTCCTACGTGAGAATATTTCCCAAGGGATTTATGGGGGTGGATCAGAAAATGACCCTAGTAGGAGTTGTCCTTACATGCTCACAGTGGGGCCCCAATGTGGGAGTGACGTCAGTGACCAAGTGACCAAATCATTCTCCTCCCTCCACCTGGAGGACAGTGTGTCCCGGCTTGTGACTGTCTGTCACTCTGCCTCTGACCTGAAGTTTAAAACTTCATTCATGAGTTTGGAACAACAGACTTGGCAGCTTGGGAAGGGCCCTTGAGACGCACCATGTTAGTCTAACCCCCTTATATTACAGAAAAAAAAAAAAAAAACCCTGAAGCCCTGTGAGAGCCATGTACATGCCAAGGTCATAGAGAAATTTTCTGTTCAACGGAGGAATTGGTTTAAGGTTGACCACAGCTCATCTTGCTCTGCAGTTACCAATGTGGTCACACTTCTGATTCATTTAAGGAGCTCTTTAAATATACAGATGTTTGGCTTGGGATGAGGCTCAGTAGTAGAATGCTGGCCTGGCATATGCCAGGTGGTGGGTATGATCTCCAGCACTGTGAGGGGGCACGGGCACGTGCACGAGTGAGCGTCTGCACGCGCACCCACACCCACACCCACACCCAGTTTTCTCCATTTGGCTTTTGGAGGTTCAGACTTAAGTTCGCAATGAAGCTTGGGAATCTGAATGTACAGGGCTCCAATATGTTCTGGGGAAACTCAGATGGCCATGGGCTGCTTTAGGAAGTTGGAATCCAAAGTCCCTCTTTCATTTTATAGTTTGGGACCTAGCAAGTGTGACCCAGCACATTAGGACCTAGCAAGTGTGACCCCAAGGTCACAGAGCAAGTTGGTGGGACTCAGGTTTTGTGGTCTGAACCAGGATGTCTGTGGTCACAGTTTGCAGATAGGCCAAAAAGTTTTGCCAAAGGAACTGCTCTGGTTTTCCCCAGTTCTCAGTTTCCTCGTTGGGTTCAAATTAAGACATAGTATGGTAGACATTTCCCGGGGTTCAGAAAGGCGGGACTCCAAGGGAAGTGGAAACAAGATCCTGCCAGGTCCTGTCATGGGGTTTTCCCAGAGGCAAGCTCAAAGCTCCAGGATGACATCAGACACAAGCTTTCCAAACAGCCCTAACTTCAAGGTCTAGGCTGTGTATTTTCATTGTAGGAGAATTGGGTAGGGAGAGCCTTCCCTGTGGGGGAGGAAATAGGGGTGGAGTGTGCCCAGCTGTGCCGTCAAGGGGATGGACTCCAAGACAGGCCACACATTCCAGCACCTGGAAGGAAGATGGAACCGCCCTTAGAAATTAAGTCAGACCTCTCCAGCACACTCCCTGAACCCCACTTCTTATCTTCCTGATCCTTCACCCCAGGGCGACCTGAGTGAAGGATTCCTGTTCCTTTTCTACTTCCCACCATTCCACCACCTATTTCATGGTCTCCTTCTTTCCACTGCTTTTCTTCTGGAGTGGATGTTGGTGTTTGGAGTCAGATGTCCTGAGTTTGAATCCAGCTGAGTTTCCTATAAGCTCTCTGACTTAGGTAGCCATGCCCCTTCTCTAAGCATTGGTTTCCTCACCTATAAAAAGGGGGATAATATTATACCTTTTTGGATTATGAAGATTAAACAAGATCATGTAGGCACTTAATAAACAGATGTTTTCTCACAAACACTAGATAGTGTGAGTAATCCGAGGACTAGAGGAATTTGAATATGTCTTTTGTGAAACAAATTGTGAAGAGAATGGTTCACCTGGAAACCAGGTCAGACATCTTTGGGCCTTAATAACTCCAAAACTGAAAACCAAGTGAATTGTTTACAGTGTTTCCAAATGATAAGGGAAACCACATACTTACACCCTTTGTCTTCCTTGTCTCCACTATTGGGGATTGAACCCAGGGCCTCCTGCATGCTAGGCAGTTGCTCCCCCACTGAGCTACATATAAAAATAAACCCTTTTTTATTTTTGAGACATGATCTAGCTAAGTTGCCTAGGCTGGCCTCAAACTCCCACTCCTCCTGCCTCACCCCAGTAGCCAGGATTACAGGTGTATACCACTGCACCCGGCACATACTCACTCTTGATAAAGTCTCAAGTTTCTTTACTTTTGTCTGGAATTGTATCAACTCAAGGTGATAACATGGCTATCACATGCTGTTCAGAAATTCTGATTGGCAGTTACATGTGTCTCTGATAAATTTTTTAAATGAGAAAATAATTAGTGGAGGGTAGATAAAATGTTGGAAAAACGTTAATCTTGTCTAACTCCTAATTGCATAAACAGGGAAACTGAAGTTTAAAGAAGGTCACACAGCTAAGAAGTGATAGAGCTGGCTTTGAAACCCTGGTTCTTTTCCTACAAACCAGTTACTTCCCTTCTTTCCAACTCCAGAGAAAGGGAACCTAGGATCAATGAAGTTGAAGAGTTTTGGTCAGCTGGGGTGGAAATAAAGTGAGTCACCAATTTGCTATTGCCCTTTCTCTATACTTGACTCATTTGACAAATATTTACTGACTGTCCACTATTCAGACTCAGAGAAAGCAGAGATAAAATAATCATGGCGGCAGGCAAGGTCAGGATTTGATTCTAGATATGACATTAGTACTTGTGCTTTCTGCCTCTGGGTATCACATTATAAAACACCCACTACTCTGTCATCTAAAACAGTCACACTGTGTCTGAGAGCAGACTAACCTTTCCCCCAGCATCAGGAAATCAACGTTGTAATGTTTGGAAACTCTTGAATTTTAATCTTAACTTTGCCCTTGGGCTTCTCCTGTCCTCTCTCCCAGCTCCCAACCCCCCCCCCCCCCCCCCCCCGCCTGTCACCCACCCCCAGCATGTGTGTGTCTGGTACTGGGGACTGAACCCAGCGATGCTCTACCACTGAGCTACACTTCCAGCCCTTTTTATTTTGAGACAGGGTCTTTTTAGATCGTGGAGGGTCTTGATGACTTGCTGAAGCTGGCCTTAAACTTGTCATCCTTCTGCCTCAGTCTCCGAGTAGCAGCGTGCGCCACAGTGCCCGGTGCCACTCAGTTTTTGAGGCAATATCTTGCTACCCTTCTGTGGCCCCTGATCACTTGTAAAACGGGAACATTGGCAAAATGATATATAGAACGTGCAGCTCCCCTCTCCCAACGCCAGTGCTTGGGATTAAACCCAAAGGTGCTCTACAATTGAGCATGAGCTACATCCCCAGCCCTTTTATTTTATTTATTTTTTGACAAGATCTCTTAAACTGCTCAGGCTGGCCTCGAACTTGAGAAACTCCTGCCTTCGCCTTCCTAATGGCTGGGATTACAGGCGTGTGCCCCGCTCTGCAAACTGTTTTCAATTTATCCTTGACTTTAAATCGAAGAAAACATTGAAAACCTAAGATAAAAATAGTTAACTGTTTATCATTTCGCTAGCACACACACCTTCTCCCCGCTCTCGGCCGTCCAGTTTCCCTTTCCCCAGTCGCTCTCCTTTTTCTCTAGCTTCCCCTCAAGAGGGCACGCAAGCTCCACAGCTTGGGTGCCTCACTTCCGTTCGCCTTCAACCTTCCTTCTGCGCATGTGCCCCGCTCCTCCTTTACCCTCTAGGTGGTTTAGGGAAAGGTTGCACATACTGCGCCTGCGCACTCTTAGTCCGGCCCTCTCCGCCGTCATCCCCGGAAGCGCTTCCTTCCCACGCAGCATCTACAGCCCCTCGGGTCGCTGGATCTTTGCCTCTCTAGGCCGTAGGGCCTCTCCTCCATGGTTCTGTCTGTCAGTCGGGTTTCGGGAGCCTGCCGATGAGGCCACGCCACGCGCGGATGCTTCATCCTTGAGTCCGTCACCGGTGAGTGAACCCCAGAAGAGTGTGTGTGCGGCGGAGGCCGAGCGGCCGGCAGGGGCAGGACCTCCCCTCACTCTGGGAATGGGTCTGTCCGCCCCGCCCTCCCCCCAACTCCCGGAATGGGCTCGCCCCTCGGTCCCAGTCCCTCCTCCTGGCCCGACGGCGTTGCCAGGGCGACGGCCTGCCGGCTGAGGCCCGGCGTGTGTCCCCGCAGGTGGTGGGGCGGCCCGGGGCCCATGGCGCGGCGGTGCTGACAGAGGCGCGGGCGGCGGCCGGGCCGGAGGGCCGGCATGGCGGGCCAGTTCCGCAGCTACGTGTGGGACCCGTTGCTGATCCTGTCGCAGATCGTCCTCATGCAGACTGTCTATTACGGCTCGCTGGGCCTGTGGCTGGCGCTGGTGGACGCGCTAGTGCGAAGCAGCCCCTCGCTGGACCAGATGTTCGACGCTGAGGTAGGGTCCCCGGGCGGCGCGGGTGGGGTCTCGCCACACCGAGTAGCTCTGTGGACCGCGTTCCCGCTTCGTGGCCCTCGGGAAGGGCTTTTACCCTTCAAAGTCTCAGCTGCCCCATAGGTGACATGGAATGACAGACGACAGGCAGAGAGGTGAAAAGGAAAGGGCCTGGATAGCATCGTAAATAGGCCTGCGTCCCAGGCCACTCCATGGGTCTCCTCTCCGAGTCTCTGAATCCAGATTCTCGGGGCCCATCCTGGGGAGAGGAGTGGATGAAAAGGCATTCTTGGGGTTTCAGTGGAAACTGCCTAGCCTTTGGGTCATAGCTTCCATTTAAGTTCCACTTTACTTGCTGTGTGATGTGGGGCCAGTGTTACCTCTCTGAACTTGCTTTCATGTCTGCAAAATCATGCAACTGTTATCGGAGAGCATGAATTTCAGTACAGAGATCCTGTACTTAAGAGTCCAATCTAGGCCCAGACATGTCAGCTCTGGGAACTCGGGGAACTTGCTTCACTTTTTAGAGCCTTTTTGTTTTCCGGAAAGTGGACAAAATAGTCCGACCATGTCACTCTCAGTAAAAGGTTATCAAGCCCAGAGGAGCCTAGAAATAAGTACTTTATAAAGTAAAGGAGGCTGCATCTGAGAAGCAGCTATTGGTGTATGGTAATGAACACAGGTCATCACCTGTGCTCAGCCAGGAGACCTGGCTGGAGTTCTTGCCCCTGATGCATACTCTTTGCATAGCCTGTGGGCACTTTATTATTCTGATAGAGGTAGTAATAATAACAGAGGCCTTTTAGCAGAGTGACCAAGATCTCAGGCTTAGAGGCAGACTCACCTGACTGAATCTCAAGGTTTTTATAAGGATAATATGAGATAATGGATGTCATGAGCCTTTCTTTGTAAGCTGAAAGTGTGGTAGAGATATTTGGTCTTCATTAGTGTGTGCCAAGGGTAGCAGAGGTTCATACCTACCAGGCACAGAGTAGTAACCTTGTAGGAGCCTTCATTCTAGGAAGGGCACATGGAAATCCTAGGCTGTGTTGAAGAGTCAACTGATGTGCACAGTCTGAGTTCTAGGTCAGTTCTTGGAAAGGGGGAGGTAGTAAATATTTTAGGTTACAACTACTCAGCTCTGCCACTATAGTGCAAAAGCAACCAGAGATGATAAGTAAGCGAATATCTGAGGACTGTGTTTCCATAAAACTTTATTTACAAAAGCAGGTGCTTCACCTGTGGTCCAATGGTTTGCTGAACCTCTTTTTCAATATATTGTATCATTTTGGGCAATTTAACTCCTTTGAGCTTTTATGTACTCCTCTGTAAACTAAGAATAGTAATTCCTTTCTTGCCTACTGTGAAGATCAAATGAGATACCATAATGGATGTATAAAAAAGAACCTTTTTGGAAATAGTCTGTTGAACAGTCCAGTCAAAGTGGGCATTGTCCTTGTGTGCTTTGGGAAGAATGCTTGTGCCTTAGGAGGCCTGCTGGGATCCTAGAGCCTGGGGCTCTGCCAAGTCACTTCTCCAGCATATTTCCATTTGTGATTCCCCTCAGATCCTGGGCTTTTCTACCCCTCCAGGCCGGCTGTCCATGATGTCCTTCATCCTCAACGCTCTCACCTGGTGAGTATCACCAGTTTTATTATCCAGCTTTGGGGGTCTTAGCACTGGGACTAACTTCCTAAATTTGGATATGAGACATGCTGGCACTTGTTCCTAGGGAGTGTGGACTGAAGTGGGTGGCAGAGATCAGTTCTGGGATTAATTCTATCATGGAACTCCTTCTGTTGCTGTTTTGACTTAGTTGCAAAGCTCTTGTCACTATGTGTGCTGCCTGCATGATAGCTTCCATCTCAGATTACTTTCCTGATATGACATGAAGTGAGGAGAGGGTTAGACTGGGAGTCAGGAGAACTATCTATCCATCCTTGGTCCCTGTGCCATTGGCCTAGTTACTTCCCTCCTCTCTGAGCCTCAGGCTCCTTATCTGTACACAAGGAGTTGGACTCAGTGACGTGTAAGGTCACTCATGACCACTGCCAGTCTCTTGAGAGGTGGTTTAGTGTAGTGATCAAGATCTCAGGCTCAGAGGCAGACTCACTTGACTGAATCTCAGCTTTACCACTTTGGACAAGTTAAATCTATCTAAGCCCCATTTCCTCAGGGGCTAATAACATTGCCTGCCTCATAGTTGTAAGGATCAAGTGATTTAATTCACAGGAAAAACTTAGAATGATGCCTTGTACGTTGCTATTATTATTGACCTTACACTGGAATACTTGAATACTGCTAGGCTAATTTTGAACTAAATTTGTCTCCCACATATTTTCTGTTTGGCTTATACAGAGGTCAGCCCACACATGGAGTTTAACACATTTTTTCACTTAGTTGAATGTCAGTATGTTTTATAAAAGTGCAGATTTATGGCTTCTCTTGAATAATGGGAAGATGGATTGCAGGCTACCCTTCTAGTATGGTAACGTTTGCCTAAATGCAAGTAGCTTTTGTCTCCTCTTAAGCTAGAACATGTATAGTTTTAGGATGCACCACCATTCCCTAGCTTCCTTCTGACAGTTGCCATTTATCATCAATCTCCTAGTTTTATTTTCTTCTATTTAGTGTGATTCACTCTTGATGTTACCTACCAGGTTCCTTTAGGCATCTAATATTGTAACACTTGCTTCACACTTAACCTTGCTCGCTTCTGACCACTATGCTGCCATCCTAATTTTTCCCTATCCCCCAAATAACCTAATCTAAGGCCAGGACAACCCAGTGACAACTCACTGCTGTCCTCTCCCAACAGTGCCCTGGGCTTGCTGTACTTCATCCGGCGAGGGAAGCAGTGTCTGGATTTCACTGTCACTGTCCATTTCTTTCACCTCCTGGGCTGCTGGTTCTACAGCTCCCGTTTCCCCTCGGCGCTGACCTGGTGGCTGGTCCAAGCCGTGTGCATTGCACTCATGGCTGTCATCGGGGAGTACCTGTGCATGCGGACGGAGCTCAAGGAGATCCCCCTCAACTCAGCCCCTAAATCCAATGTCTAGAATTGGGCCCTTTGGACACTCTACTGGCACTTGGGCTCCCCAACTTGGGCTAGTCAGACCTTCTGGATGAGGTCCAGCCCAGGTCTGAGAGGAACCCTGGAAATGTGAAGTCTCTGTTGGTGGAGAGATAGTGAGGTCCCATCAAGAAGGCAGGTAGCAGTCAGGATCACAGCTGCAAGAATGGCCTCTATCTGCTGAAGCCTTGGTATCTGAGAGGTCTGGAAGGGGACCTCTTTGAGGGTCATATCAGATTTGGAACCATGTCATTCTTGAGCCATCACACCTGTCACCAGCCTATTGTTTTAAAAAAGAAAAAAAAAATCAAGGATATCTGATTGGAACAAACCACTCTTCTAGTCATCTGTCTTACCCCTGGACAGCTATTACCTTTGCCATGTTGCGGAACTACAGTGATTCTTTTTAGAGCAACAGATTTCTGGAGCCATAGCCACAGAAAGAGATCTAGTGCAAAGTACTATGCTACTGTCAGGGAGAGGGCGGCAGACACAGACATCAAGCGCAAGGAGAATGCAAAGCCTGTGCCCTGTTACACACATACATGTGTGCACCCAAGAACCCATGATTAATTTCCTTCAAGTTCCCACTCCTGGGTCCCCACCCTGATGCCAGCCTTCCTCAAAGCAGGTCATAGGACCCAGAGAAGAATCCCATCATCACTTCCAGTCTAACCCTCGTATTGGGGTCACTGCCTGCTCTCTAGGAATGACCAGGTTCCCAAGCACCTACTGGATCTCGGTACTGGCAAGAGTTCCTTTTTCCTGTATTATTTGGAATTCTCTGGTGGGAAGGGCATGGTGGGTGCCCAGCTTTAGGAAGCCCAACTTTCTAGCCCAGGCTATGCTGATAGTGCTGAGGCAGATAAAAATTTGCTGCTAAGATTTTTCTTTGGGGGTAGAATTTCCTGTGAGGGGCTTGCAGCTCTCCTTCCTGTGTACAGAAATACAGTATTTTCCATGGTTCCGTCTGTACTTCCTTTGTAATGCGTGGTTGGAACGGAGATAGATGAATAGCTAGGCAAAGGATCTACAAAGAATTGTTAAGTTACCTTATCCTTTCCTGGACCTTCAAGTTATTCCTCCAATTGGTTAAAATACGAAACATGCAGGGAACTCTGCCTCACTCCATGTCCCCACCTCCCACACCTATAGCTCCTTTTACTATGCCTCTGGTTAATTGCCATGACTCTTGGGACTTCCCCCCACCCCCTCTTACTGCTGATTTCTGAACATGTGCAACAGAGCAACACCACTTCTGCACTGAAACCATCAGTGTTCTTTGATTTCTCTGGATTTTGCCCAAGAAAGCTGTCAGGGTTTAGCTTTTAGTATTAGAATTACATAGAAAAGTTTTGTCTCTCTAGGAGCCTTTCTAGCCTCCTGGCTCTGAGCCTTGTCTAGGGAACCAAACCTTACAGGGGCAAACATGCTTGGGTGGAAGCTGGGAAAGTGCTGGAGTGAGGCAGCTCAAGAACTCAAGAGTGCTGTGGCCAAAGTGGATGGAAACAGCTTGTTACTGGGGCATAGTAATCCTGGCTGCAGGGTCCAGGAGGTAAGACCAGGGGTTGGTGGATTTCCCCCTAGAGACCACAAATTCTACAGGCATGTGACTAACTTTTTGAAGGGCTTCAGACACACCCCATGTAGCAGCTCTCTCCCTTGATGAGCTGTGGTGGCTGTTGCTGCCGCTATGGTTGGACCACCTCTTTAGGATTTCCTTTGAGGACTGGTGCCACTTTTTTTCTGCATATCTTCTGTGATGACATGTCTTTGTCTCTTGAGTGTTACTTTAACTTTTGGAAAATGCCCCAAATCAGGAGAACCAGTCCCCCTCTCAAGAATATTGTAACCAAGTTGAGTGACAGGGATCAAAAATATGTGACTTTAAGCCAGACACAGTGGTACATGCCTGTGATCCCAGCTCTCTGGAGGCTGAGGCAGAAGGACTGCAAGTTTTTAAGGCCAGCCTGGGCAACTTAATGAGATTTTAAGAAAAAAAAAAATGGCTGGGTATGTAGCTCAGTGGCAGAGCATCTAGCAGGTGTGAGTCTCTGGGTTCCATCCCTAGGGCCTCCCCCGCCGCCCCCCCCCAAAAAAAAAAAAGTCACCTTAAAAGAGTTTTACAATTCTTTTTTTTTTTTTTTTTTTTTAAAGAGAGAGTGAGAGAGGGAGAGAGATAGAGATAGAGAGAGAGAGAATTTTAATATTTATTTTTTACTTATCGGCAGACACAACATCTTTGTTTGTATGTGGTGCTGAGGTTCGAACCCGGGCCGCACGCATGCCAGGCAAGCGCGCTACCGCTTGAGCCACATCCCCAGCCCAAGAGTTTTACAATTCTAAGTAACAAAAAACAATTTCTGGAACTGAGTTCCAGAGGACTGAGCAAGGCAGTGATATGTTTGTCATCTGAATAATCTATTAAGTACTTAATAGGTATCCAGGAGTGAGCTAAGGGCTATGTCTCCTTTCTCAATCTTCCCAACAACCCTCTAAAGTAGGAAATACCATCATCTGTATCTTATGTATGAGGAGATTGTTAAGAACTTACACAGGGTTACATTTTAGGAGCTGGCAGTATCAGGATTTGGGCTCTGGTAGTAACATTATTAAGCATCATTTTGATTGGTTAAACAATCTATCACCTTATAAGCATACCTCACCATCCCATTGTTTTAAATACTAAGGATGAATAGTGCTTTGATTGGTTAAACAATCTATCACCTTATAAGCATACCTCACCATCCCATTGTTTTAAATACTAAGGATGAATAGTGCTTTGTAAACATTACTTTCTAAGAAAAAACTAATAGGCATTGTACTAAATATGGCCAGAAGTTTCCCAAGTGGTTCTAGAAATGTAGAAAATGTCTTTATTTCCAAATTATAAAGGATAGTACCGAGGTCACAAAGCTATCTCCCTCCTATTTCAAGTTGATAATCATGACTTTCTACTTTCTAACCATTCAGAGAGAAAAGTGGACTGTTGCATAATTGCTTAGAATAATTTATAACTCTGAAGGAGGATGGGAAAGGAGAAAGTGATGTCTGGCTCAGAGGGCACCTCTAACCCCTTGCTCTAGGCAACCCTGTCCAAATCTGAGTCAAATGGGAGCCAGGATGTAGTCAAAAGATATCTGGGAGTGGAGATTGGTGGGAAGCTCCAGGTGTCCCTAAGTTCTGGTGGTACATAGCTCAAACAGGCTGTCCTAGAAGTTGAGTTTCTTGGTCTCCTTCCTCTGACTAGCAGATCAGGGTGGCTTTTGGGGGGGAGAGCAGTGAGCAATCAGGTATGGAATATCTCCCTGTACCTGTAGCACAGGGACCACAGATACTTGGGGGCGGGCTTCTGAGAACCCAGAGCAGGAGGAGTAGGGGTGGACTCAGGGTACCAGAGGAGCCTGAGGGATTAGAAGCCACATCTTGCTCAAGGAAGCTAAGCCATGTCCTGCCTCTGCCTGGGCAAGTCGGTGTTATAAGGGTCCAGTGCTGGAAGACTTTAAAGAGCAGCAGTGGAGTGCAGGGTTAAGTCCTGGAATCCTCATAATAGCTGTGAGATCTTGGGTAAGACACCCAACCTCTCACACTACCTTAGTTTCCTCATTTGTAAAACGAGGGTTAATTGTAGTCATCCCTCATTGTCCGTGGGAGATTGGTTTTAGGATCCCCAAGGTTATCAAATTCTGAAGATGCTCATCTCTTTTACAAAATGGCTCAGTAAAAAAAAAATAAATAAATAAATAAAGGGGAAAATAGCATATTATTTGCACATAATCTACATTCCTCCTGTTGTATACTTTAAATCATCTCCAGAGTACTTACAATTCCTAATACAATGTAAATGTTATGTAAATTGTTGTTATACTATAGGGAAGGACAAGAAAAGGATCTGTACATTTTCTGTATGAACCCAGTATTGTGTTTTTCCCCAAGTAATTTTGGACTACAGTTGAATCCATGGATTTATAATTAGTAGGCTATTGCTTACCTCTCCATTTTACATAAGTGGACAAGACTTTCTTCTGAGCCTGTGTTATCTAATGTTAGATAGGCGGCTGGCTTGTCTGTGATATAGGTGCCATCACCTAGTATTGAGCTGTTTGTGCCATACCCTGCAAGAGGTTAATTTATATTCCTTTTTAATCTAATGAAACAGGCACCACCATTCCCTGCATTTTGCAGGCAACATTTGAAGATTAGGGAGTAAACAGCTTTCCCCAACAGGGGCTGCAGCTGTAGCTCAGTGGCAGAGTGCTTGCTTAGCACATGTGAGGCACTGGGTTCGATCCTCAGCACCACCTAAAAATAAGGCATGCTGTCCATCTACAACTGCAAAAAACAAAACAAAATAAACCCCACAAACTAGCCATGTCTGCCTTGAAGGCCTCATCCTCTTCACATTTCAGTTGTTTGAACTTACCTGGTCCAAATAATTGGGACAGTATTGAAATCCAGATGCCGCTTTAGCAAAATGTTGTGAATGTGAACATAAATTTGGCTTGTTAACAATCATCTAGTTCTCTAAAAGCTGACAAGTAAGATGCTTGAAAGCAAGAAAAAGGGTCAGTACTAGCCTCAGGGTTCATTATGGTAAAGGGCCAGGGAGAAGGTTTGGGGAGAGGCCAAACATTTGGTTCAATACCTGGCTTCATGTATTGGTCAATACCTTTCAAGCTGGCTTTATCTACATAAGCCTGATCTACTTAAGACCCTCTGAAATGGATATTAGTATCCCTATTTTAAAAACAGATTAAATAGTCTCTGAAAGCTCATGTGACTTATTAAACATCAATATAAGTTTAGATTCAAAAATTTAGTTTCCCCTCCTGCCCTGATTAACTGTTTGGGAACCATTTGTGAGATATCTTCCTTCCCAAATCAGGATCTCACAGAACCCAGAAGAGCCTCAGACTAAAGTGGTTAAATAAGAGGGTTGTGGTGGGGAGATCCCAACTGTGGGATTGTGAGAAGCAGGTTGTCAGAGGCATAAACGCCAGGGGGAGGTGGGGGTAAGGCTGGCAGGTACACTGCTGCTGGGAGTCACTCTTCCCTAGGACCTGCATGTTTTGCTCTCCTGGCCATGCTGGATCCCGCCCTCAGCACACAGACTCCCCTGTGCTGGGTGGCTCTTCTTGGGCAGGTGGGGACCAACTGCTTTCTGTGGAGCAAAGTGGGAGTTGCCAGTCTTGCCTAGGTCCACCCTATTTCCCCACTTGGGCTTCCACCTGGGGTCCCCTAGGCTATGTAGGGAAAGGGGAGGAGCAGAAAGGGTTTGGAATTTCTGTTTGGGTGCAAGGTGCCCTGACTGCCCACTGATGGCAGCTCAATCCTAAAATTCATTCAGAGGTTGATGGATCAGGTGCCTGGGAAGGAAGATTGAGTAAAGGTTATTTTCCAAGGTTGATGGGATTGATGGTGGGCTGCAGGGAACAGAAGTGCATACTACTGATGGAATGGGCTGGAGTAAAGCTGAGCCGGAAGTGGAAGAGGTTGCGCGGGAAGTTGCGGGGGGAGGGGGGGTAGGGTGGGGTGGGGTATGCTCTGTAAGGGGGTGCTATGCTTAGATCTCATTGGGAGGTAGGAAGCCTGCAGCAGAGGCGCCAACTGAGCCGTTCAGGCTGGGCCACGGGTCCCAGATTCCAGATCCACGGAGACCCAGTCGCCCAGCTGAGCACTTGTTGAGAGGAGGGGCGCTAGCAAGGGGGTTAAAGTGGGGAGCCCTCCCATAGGTCACTCTCTTCCAAAGGGAACTACCCTGTCTTCTCCTGGCAGGGTTCCGCGCCTCTTGACGGCTGCCGTCCTCTCTGGGAGGCACCCTCCCTGCACAGTGTGTCTCCTGGGAATATGGAGGATTATAGCTTTTGGAGAAAAAAACTCCCTGGGCTTCCCTTTCCCCAACTGCGTTCCAGATCCTTTGGCTCCTATCAACAGAGGGCGACGCCCACCAGATGGATTCGACATGGCTTGGATTCAAGGACGGACTTGCCATGTCACTGGAGCAGCAGAGATGTGGTGCCAACTCCCTGTCTACCTGGTGTTTTCTGTTGTGACCCAGGTGGGCCATATATGGAGGTCCAGCCTTTCTTGAGGCGAATGCACTGATAATCAGGCTTGTTATGGACTAGATGCTGGAACTGCTTCACTGCCCAGTGACTTCCCCGCCTTCTTTCTGCACCTTCCCACCCTTTTGGGAAAATGGAATGGGGAGCAGCCTTCTCACTCCTAGCTGAGTGAGTCGGAGCAAGTCCCTTTTTCTATCTGGGCGCCAAGGTTTCCTCCAGTTTGCAGAGCCATTGTGAGGCACCTTGGGCCCAGGAAGCCCACGGCAAATGTCCTGCTCTGACTTCATAGAGAAGAGTGCAGCGCTCAGGAGACCCACTCGCAGAGGGGAGGGGGAGGGGGAGGGTGCAACCCCCAGCTCTAGACTGACCTTAGAACTTGGGGCTGGGCTTTGGGGATCCGGAAGTCGTGACACACACTCCCTTGGCCACCTTCACCAAGGGCCTTTTTTCTCCATCCTCCCAACCTCGCATGAACTGGCGGAGCCAGCGGCAGCATTTTTCGGTGCCATGTGGAAGATTTTATTTGTAGACTCTCAAATTTGCCCGCCCAACCCTCCCGTCCAGCTGATTGCGCGATCTCCGCCCTTTCCTCACACATCAGGCTCCCATCAGGTCACGCCACCTGCGTGCAGAGACCTCAGTGTTAGGCGCTAAGATCGTCCCTAGAGGGCGCTGTTGCTTGGTAAGAGGGCACAGGGACAAGTTGGAGATGCTGGTTTTGCTGAAGGGGAAGCCTTCCTTTAGCTGGACCGCCATAGCTAATGGTCCCCTTCTTTCAGTGGGGCCTCATTGATTCCTTGGAGGGATTGAAGTAATGTGTTCTTCCTATTTTCTTTTTCTTTCCTTTTACTTTCTTCTCTTTTTTCTTAGTATTATTTTGCTAAGGAACTTAAGAGTAAATTTCATTTGAAGCATGAAAAAAATCAAACAAATGGAGGGTTGATTTGGTAGGATTGGGGATGGGATGCAGCAAAGCCCAATCTGGCCACGTTCCTCCATAAACTGGTTCATTTAAACCTCTATGAGACTGAGAGCCACAGCAATTCTAGGCCATCCCGAGGCCTCCTGGCAACAAGATGACCCACCTTGGAGCCTACACTTTCAGTGTCTTTCTTTCCCCAGAGCCCCTAGTTGCATTCTGAGAAACCTAAGCCCTGCCACTATCCTGATGTTTGGCTTGGTCAGTGGCTTCCCCCTCTCTGGCAATAGAGACAGAGCCTCCCAGCCCTGCCAGTCACTGTCCTTAAGACTTGGGATCCCAACTGGGCATGGTGGCACATGTCTGTAGGCCCAGCACTTGGGAGGCTGAGGCAGGAGGAGTGCTTGAGCCCACTGAGTTTGAGACCAGCCTGAGCAACAGTGAGACCCCATCGCAAAAAAAAAGAATTTAAGATTGAGGCTGGGCCCAGTGCCGCATGCCTGTAATCCCAGCAATTTAGACTAAGGGAGGAGATCACAAGTTTCAGTCCAGCCTGGGCAACTTAACTCCATCTCAAATAAAAATAAAGGGCTGGGGATGTAGCTCTGTGTTAGAGCACCCCGGATTTAATCCCCAGTACCACACCAAAAATTAAAAAAAACCTTAGGATCCTGAGCCTACTGACTCTAGGGCTCTGCGTCTGGCTCAGGGTGTGCACCTCCCTGTCACACCCACCTTGTATGAATGGTACATAGGCACCTCAAGTGATGCAGAGCAAAAGCGGGTACAGCAGCGCTTGACCCAGCGCAGGCTAGAGGGTCTGCACATGACGCGGGGCCCTGGGAGGTGGATTCGTCTGGGCAGCCCCTCAAACCAGATATTCTGGCCACCTGTATCCAACTGCTTCATGTCCCCCATAGGACTTCTGTGGTAGTGGGTTTTCAGGAAGATGACTCTGCGGCTCCCAGTAGATAGTTGCTTCCCCCGTGTTCCAGTGTTCAAGCCTTGACTCCTCGATGTCCTTGGGACCTCAGGCTCCACCTGATCTAGTGGCACTGTTACAGTTGGCTCCTTTTCCTTGTTCCTTTTCTCTGATGCTATCTCGGGCTTCCAGTCTTCGGCCCTTGTCTCCTTAGATTCCTCCGTAGACTCTTCTTTCTTATTCTCCAGTGTCTTCTCAAGGAATCTAGCTTCCTGGAGTTTTTTGTTATTTTTTTTCACTTCATTGCAGACACTGTCTCTGGCAGAGAGAGAAAAGGCTGTCAGCAGAGCAGGACAGGCTCTGGTTTCCTGGCCCTGTCCTGAGGAGGTTGCTATGCAGCCAACTCAGGGGATCCTGTTGAGAAAGAAAGCTAGAGAGGGGCTGAAAAGGAACTTGTCCATCACCCAAAGGCCTGTGCCTAGTGACAGGGCGGTGGTTATGTATTGGCAGAGGGATGGGAGAGGTTGGGAAGGCAGAAGGCACAACAAGTAGTTACAACATCTAGAAATACATGATGTGCGTCGACCACCAGGTTAGGATCTGCCTCTGGATTTCAGTTGAGAGGGTGAACAGTCCAGAGGGTGTTTTGTTGTTTTGTTTTTTGTTTTCAGATCATGTCTCAAGAAACATTAGGATTCTGAGGAGGTGTTTCCAAGGCCCTCACTTCCCCAGGGTGAGGACAGGATGAGGGCAAGATATTCCCTAACAAAAATATAGTTCGGGCCTGGGGATTGGTATTGGAGAGGTCCCACTGCTTTAAAAAAAGTTGGGAAGCAGGCATGGTGGCACATGCCTCTAATTCTAGCTACTGAGGAGGCTGAGGCAGGGGATTGAAAATTCAAGGCCAGCCTCAGCAACTTAGGGAGGCCCCAAACAATTTAGCGAGACCCTGTCTCAAAATGAAAAATAAAACGGACTGGGGCTCAGGGGTAGGGCACTTGCCTGGCACCTGTGAGGCACTGGGCTCAGCACAACATAAAAATAATAAAAGTATTGTGTCCATCTACAACTAAAAAAAAAAAAAATTTAAAGGGACTGGAGATTCAATCCCTAGTACCAAAGTAATAATAATTAACAACAACAATAATAATAATACCAAAATAATAAATAAAGAAAGTTGGGAAACTGATGCTTCTGATTCTGTACTTCCTGGTTGCCTGCATCTAGGAGGCCAAATCAGAGGACCCCAGAGGAGGACTTAATCCCCAGGGTGTCTAACAGACTGTAAACCCCTATCATAGCCCATTGTAACCACGTGGAGAGGCAGGCTCCAGATAGCAGCAATACTGGTGATGTAATGGATGCTGTTAATTGGAGGCCCACTGTCAGGCCCAGAATCCTCATGAGACTTCTGCTAAGTATGAGGCAGTGAAGTAGCAGAGTAGCTTGTAGAGCAGAGGCTTTGGAGTCAGACAAATGAGGGTTCAGAATCTGCTCCTTCCTCTTACCAACTATGGAACTAGGGTGAGAAGTTTAACCTCGGCTTTATTTGTAAAGCTGAAATAATTCTGTGTACCTATTAGGATTCTTGGGAAGAATAAACTAAATGGGCAAACACTTGTGTAGTGCTTAGCACAGTAGCTGGTGTTCGGTACTTAACAGGTTAGCTTTCTTAATATTCTGATGTGATTTATGAGGAAACTGAGCCTCACCAAGATATACTAATCCTCAGACTTCGGGGGCCAGTCTGCAGGTGAATCTCTGGGCTGGGTTAATGGGAGGGAGAGGAAGAGTGACCCCACCCACTCAGTGCTGCAGGTGGTGCTTAGGTTCATAATTGGATGACTACAGCAGTGTTATGGCCATAGCTTCAATATCAGATAGGAATGACTTCAAATCCTGGCTCCTCCACTCTTCAGTTCAGCTAAGTCAGCTAAGTCTCTTCATCTCCTGAGTCTCAGTCCCCATCAGTAGTAAAACAGGTATAATAAATTCCTGTCTTAGGGAGCCTTTGAGAAAAATAGACCTATTCTCTATTTTCTTTAAATAGACCTATTCTCTATTTTCTTTAGCACACCCCTGTTCCAAGTAACAACAGCTATTGGGTCCATGGTGATGGTGACGCGGGCTCACCCAGAGGAAATACGGAGCATCTTCGGAACTCTGAGCACTGAATTCCAACACCGTCTTGCTAGGCTATGCAGTTCTTGGATCCTGCGGTTGGAGCTCCTGAGTAGCTTCAAGAGTGACAAATTTCTTAATACCTGTTGGGGGCAAGAAACCAGAGAAACAGAAGCTTCAGCTCTCCTGGGATAGCCTTCCCGTGCCCTGCCTCTGGGTCATCTCAGCTCAGGGCTGGGTCTGCTGACTCCTCTGGGTCATGTGGCCTGGCAAGCAGGAGCAGCTCTGCACCCGGAATCAGGCTCCCTTAAACTGGGGTCAAAATGAGCTCTCACCATTTTAAGTCGGTTCCGCTCAATTGTTTTGCAGACAGGCTGACTTGTCTTGTAGTTTCTCATCTTGCATCTGAGGGAGGGGGAGAGAGAGTCAGCTAGTGCAGGAGGAGTCCCCCGAATGCCTCCATTATGCCTCTCCATTTGACCAAAGGTGGTTTGATCAGCCCCAGACTGGCAGTTTTGTACCCTGGTTTGGGAGCAGAACTGGGGAGACCATTTTAACTCTCTAGATCTCCCTTCATCCTTCACCTTCCCTTCCCCCTAGGCTGGAAGGCCCCTGTCCTTGGTATGCCTGGACTCTGTTAAGGCCCCTTCTAGGGGCTAACTCCAGGGTCCAGTCCAAAGTCTGACCTTGGAAACCACTTTGTTCTTGGGCCCCTTTGCTGATGGACTCACGCTGGCGCTGTGAGGCCTCAAAGACTGAAGGAGCAAGACTGGTGCCAGGCACTGTCTGTGCCCTGCCCCTCGCAGTTCAGACAGCACTCAACCCAGCATCAGATAGTGGTGCTGGAGCTCCCAGGCAGGGGAGCTGTGACATCACTGAATGTGACAGCAACAGGGCAGGGTCTCCAGGGAGTTTGTGTGGGGGGCAGGAGTAGAGGGTGGAGGATGAGAAGGAAACTCCCATCTGTGGAGAAACACACACAGTAGGGGACAGGCAGCTGCATACGTGATCAAAACCTCCCTGGTGATCATAACCTCCCTGCGAGGTAAGAGGATTATCCCCTCTTTTTAAATGAGGAGGCCAGGGTTCAAAAAGGTTCAAAATGGCTCAAAAATTTACAGCTCAATGATGGTGGAGCTGGAAACCTGACCAAGGTCTCACAGCTCAGGAAACCTGGCTTCTCAAATCATGCTCATCTATTCTATTGTGTCACTTGTGTTGACTGCACTTGCTACATGCCAGGTGCTGATATCAAAATTTTCTATTTTGAGACAGGGTCTTACTAGGTTGCTTAGGGCCTTCCTAAATTGCTGAGGCTGCCTTTGAACTTGTGATTCTCCAGTCCCAGCCTCCAAGTTCCTATCATAGGCCTGTGCACCACGCCCAGCTTCTCCATTACTTTCTTAAGGCTAGACCTCAGTCAATAATATTTTCTTCTGTAAATATGTTAGGATTTGGGGGCCACAGAGTTATGGCCCCAAACTCAACTGCTCAATTCTGTTGTTACAGAGCAAAAGCAGCCATATGTAATAAGTAAGTGAATGGGCATGTCGGTATTGTAATAAAACTTTATTTGCAAGAACAGTCATGGATTTGATCCATGCCAACCCTAGTCCAGTCAACAACAATAAATTAAAAGCCAATTTGTCATGCTTACCTATTTCTGTGATATCAATACTTCTATCACATTTGATTTAAAGTTACCAGTTGAGGGACTAGGGTGTACCTCAGTGGTAGAGTGTTTGCCTAGCATACACAAGGCCATGGGTTTGATCCCCAGTGCCACAATGACAAAAACAAACAACACAAACAAAAAATGAACCCCAGTACCAAAAAAGAAAAAGGAAAGTAATAGAGAAAAATGTTAATAATGTAAATTAAACAAAAAAGCTATTCCATTGTACATAGAAAAAATACCTGAGAAAATTTACTATCACTATTTATTATATCACTAAACTCAGAATAGGGCCAAAATGCCCTGTAGCATGCCATTTTATGTTCTATGTTTCTACTGTATATAAATAAGGTCCAGAAGATGCACATGACTGTAATCCCAGGCCTTGGGAAGCTGAGGTAGGGGGATTGCAAGTTCAAAGGTCAGGCTCAATAATTTAGGGAGGCCCTAAGCAACTTAGCAAGATCCTGTCTCAAAAAATAAAAAGTGCTGGAGATGTGGCTCTATGTTAGAGCACCCTTGAGTTTAATGCCCCCTCCCCCGTATCCACCCCTCAAAAAAATTCTAAAAGATGGTTACAAAGGTTAGAAAGTGATGGGTTTGAGGATTTTTTTCACATTTTTATTATCATTTATGTAATTGTAAATTTCCATACTTTAATTTTTAATGATGGCCATGGTTAACAACTAGCCTGCAGAGTTTCTCAAGATGTAACAATTGACTTTTGTGAGCCTTTATGAGTCAGCCCACCACTGTTAGGTCAGATGGAAATAAGTGCTTGGAACAAAGTAAACAGGTTGAAGGGGACAAGGCGGGCAAAGGTAGAGGGTTTGCTGCATTAAAAAGTGATGTCAAGGGGCTGGGGATGCAGCTCAGTTGGCAGAGCGCTTACCTAGCACATGTGAGGCACTGGGTTTGATCCTCAGCACCACATAAAAATAAAGTATTGTGCCATCTACTACAAAAAATATGTATTTTTAAAAAGTGTGGTCTGGAAAGATTCACCTACAAGATGAGATCTGAGCAGGACGTGGAGGAAAGAGGGAGAGGAGAATGGTGGTGGCAGCAAGAGGAAGATAAAAACAAAGAGGAAGTTGCAGTGGGCTGGAGACAGATTGTGGCAGGCTTCGAAGGACAGTGGTGGCTCTGGAGCTCTGGTGCCTAGCTGGCTGCATCAGAGGGGTCCAAGAGCTTGTGAGAAACAGCCTCCTGGGCACCAGCCTCTGTAGGCCGGTCCAGCACCCAACCAAGGTTTGGGACCACTCCACACCGCTGATGGGGACAGAGGGTACAGGCACAGGAGTGCTTGGCTCTGCCTTTGAGGGTGACGGACCAAGCCAAGACTATGGGACGTAGTTCTTCATAGTTTTACCTTTTCCAGAATGTCCCATAATTGGAATCCTACGGTATGTAGCCTTTTTGGATTGGCTTTTTTCTCTTAGTAATCTGCATTTAAATTTATTCTATGCCTTTTCTTTCTTTCGTTCTTTCTTTTTTATACTTTTAGTTGTAGGTGGACACAATACCTTTATTGAGTTTATTTTAGTTTTATGTGGTGCTGGGGATCGGACCCAGGGCCGCACACATGCTAGGCGAGTGCTCTACTATTGAGCCTCAGTCCCAGCCCTCTCTATGCCTTTTCATGGCTCATCAGCTCATTTTAGAGCTTAGTAATATTCTATTGTCTGGATTTATCACTGTTTATCTTTCACCTACTGAAGAACATCCTGATTGATTCCAAGTTTTGACAGTTATGAATAAAGCTGCTGTAAACATCTGTGTGCAGGTTTTTGGGTGGACATAAGTTTTTGATTCCTTTGGATAAATACCAAGGAGTGCAACTGCTAGATCATATATTTAGTTTTCTAAGAGACCACCAAATTATCTTCCAAACTGGCTCTACCTGGTACATACCTTTCAATGCCCACCCATTTGCTTCCTTTCTGAAGTTGTGCCCACCTAAGCAGCTCATCAACAAAGGACCAGATTCTGTACATCCACAGTGGCTCCCAAAAGCAATTTTTCATAGTCCATCTTGTTTGATTCTTCTATTTACATGGGAAAAAACCAGCATTCATAACCAGCAATGCACAGCTGGAAAATCTTGGGGATTAAATCTAAGGATCTTGCATGAGAAAATTCTACTCTTTAAAAAAAAACGGTAAAATACACATAACATGCTGGGCATTGTGGTACAAGTCTGTAATCCCAGTGGCTCAAGGCTGAGACAGGAGGATTGCAAGTTTGAGGCCAGCCTCAGCAATTTAGCAAGACCCTGTCTCAAAATTTAAAAAAATAGGGCTGGGGATGTGGCTCAAGCGGTAGCGTGCTTGCCTGGCATGTGTGTAGCCCGGGTTCGATCCTCAGCACCACATACAAAGATGTTGTGTCTGCCGAAAACTAAATAATAAATATTAAAAAATAAAAAAATGGTTATGATGGTAAATTTTGTGTTATATGATTTGTTTTGGGTAGTAGGGGATTGAAGTCAGAGGTGCTCTACCTCTGAGCTATATACCTGACCCTTTTTATTTTTTATTTTGAGGCAGGATCTTGCTAAATGGCTCAGGAAAGCTTGGAACTTGTGATTCTCTTGCCTTGGCCTCCCAAATTGCTGGGATTACAGCCCTGTGCCACTGCACACCCAGCTCTTCAATGTGACCTTTTTTTTTTTTTCTTAATTTTATTTATTTATTTATTTTTGGTACTGGAGATCAAACCCAGAGGCATGCTTTCCCACTGAACCACATCCCATCCATTTTTATTTTTTTAGACAGGGTCATGCTGAGTTACTTAGGGCCTTGCTAAATATTGAAGGTAGCTTCAAACTTGTGATCCTCCTGTCTCAGCCTCCCAGGTTGCTGGGACATTAGGCATGTTAGGCCAGTGTTTGTCTTTTTGGGCCTGATTTTAATTCACTTAGCATAATGTCTTCAGAGTTCCTTCATGTTGTAGCTCATGTCAGAATTTCCTTCTTTTTAAGGCTGAATAATATTTCTATTGTGTATATACCACATTTTGTTTATACATCTATCAGTCAAAGGACATTTGAACTGTTTCTACCTTTTGGCTAATGCTGCTATGAACATGAATATACAAATATCTCTTCCAGACCTTGCATTTTAATTCTTTTGAGTATATACCTGGAAGTTGAGTTGTTGGATTATATGGTAATTCTGTTTTTTTTTTTTTGTGTGTGTGTGTGTGTGTGATCAAACCCAGAACCACACATGCCAAGCATGCACTGTACCATGGAACTATACAGCCAGTCCAGTAATTGCTGTTTTTAACCTCATAGTAACCACCACATTGCTTTCCCCAGTGGTAATCCATTTTATATTCCCACCAGCTGTGCACAAGGGTTCCAGTGTCCCCACACCCCCACCCACACTTGATATTTTCTGTTTTTTGGGTTTTTTCAATTGTAGTCATCCTAATGAGTATGAGTTTCCACTCTTTTGTTGCTTCTTATACTTTGTGCTTTTGTTCTTTAGGTTTTTTGAGGTATATTTTATTTTATATACAGTAAAATTCACCCTTTTTAATATACCATTCTATAATTTTAAACAAATGTGTATTATTGTATAGCCACAACAATCAATAGAGAGAATGTTTTCATAACACCACTAAGTTCCTTCAAGTCATCTCTGTGTAGTTAACCTCTCCTCCCACGCCCAGCCTGGAAGCAAATGATGTGTTTTTCAGTCCCTGAAACATTTGCCTTTTTCAG